CTACCCTTGTTTAGGGCAGAGTAGTACTCCATCACATACAAAACCCACATCTTCTTTATCCATTCACCAGTTGATGGGCATTTGGGCTGTTTCCAAGATTTAGCTATTACAAACTGTATCAGGCCATTTCTTGGCCTCCTGGACTGTTAGGTGCTAGGTTGATAGCAGCCACCAAGTACTCTTGCTGGGTGGTATATGATGACATCCCAGCTCTGCCCCAGTTTGCTGAGCTGCGGCCACCCTAGCAAAGCCCTGGGAGTGCTGTGCACATCTGATCCCATGGCCTCTAGGAAGGGAAGGCCTCACTGAGATCTCAGCCTGAGGTGCAGTGGAGAGATTATCAATCCCTGTCTTGTAGACCTTTAGAACTAAGGTCCAAAGCTGAGCTCACTTCCCGCCACCAGTCAGGCCTCACTTGTGCCTCAGAACAGAAGCCTCAATGCCCACGGTTCGTTCTTTAGCAAAGGCTTATAGGAGCAGGCACCCTCAGAGGCCCAAGCCACAAACCTGCGTGGGGCCTGGTCTCTCTGGAAAGGAAAAAAAGATCTGGCCAGCCCTGTATTCTTGTCCCACCGCAGCTACTGGATGCCAACTAGCTCAACTCATTGCTCAGCCTCCTGGGCCTAAAAGATGCTGTTAAAGCAGCATCTGGGAAAGAGAAGCTATCACCTCTCCTAGACTTCGTTTACTCATTACACGGATATCCCTCCCGTGTTCACTGTGCCCAGCATTGGGGTACAGCCAAAAGTATCAGCCAAGGCCCTTGTGCTAGTCCTCACACAGCTTACAGGCTAGTGGGAAAAATACAGACAGATGATAAAAGAGTGATGCCAGTATAGTAGGTATCTTTGCATTTACCTGGGGGAGATTCAGCAATCACACAGAATAGCACTTGTGTTTGTTTTTTGTTGTTTGTATTTTGTTTTTTGTTTTGGAGACAGGGTCTCGCTATGCAGTTCAGGCTGAACTTGAGCTCACTTTGTAGCTGAGGCTGGTCTCGAACTCACAACGATCCTCCTGCCTCAGCCTCCCGAGTGCTGGAAGTATAGGCATGTGCCACCACGCCTGGCTATATTTTTGGTTTTTTTTTTTTTTTCTTTTTTGGGGGGCACCAGGGATCGAACTCAGGACCTTGTGCTTGCCAGGAAGGCGCTTGTGCCACTGAGCTACATGCCCAGCCCAGCACCTGTGTTTGAAAGCCCAGAAATCACCCAAGCTTGGAAGATGGCTCAGACAGAGAGCCGTTCTCCATCTATTTCTGGGTGGTAGGAAATCCAGAGCCCGCTGCCATCTCTCTCCAACCCTGAGCTCCCTGCATCCTGGAGAAATCCAGGAAAATAGGCCTTGTGGGCTTCTAATAAGCCTTCTAAGGCCCTTTTTAGGGCTGGAAGAACTACATCTACTAGCATATTTAGAAATAGTTTAGTGTGCTGAATCGAACATTCTAGGTAATGGCTATTATAGATCCCATGCATGATTTACCAATTTTCATGTAGGTAAAACCCAGCAACATGTACAAAATACTAAAGTTAGACTGAATGTAATAGACTTTTTTATGATGATTCCAAAGAATACGAGAGTCTTGCAAGGCCTCTAGGTCATTATTATAATCAGTGATCACTGGGCTGTAGAATACAGCAGGGCCAAGTATTAAAGCTGGTTCACTATATACATAGCATAACTACAGTCGGTTCACTGTCCTGTTCTTTGTAGGCAATTTTAAAGCAATTTTCTGAGTGTCTGAGTACAGAATGATAAACCAGGGCACCTCCCCACGTCGGGGAAAACTGATAATAATGTAGTGGCCTTCTCAGTCTAGGGTTGGGAGATATTTCCATCTTACGAGGGGAGACGCCGCCTTTAGAACTGCAGCCTTGGCTGAGGGGAGTCCCCACCCTCTGGCTGGATACGCCCCCTGGAGCCACCTCTGGTGGCAGCTCACTGCCAGCCTGGCTATCCCAGTTGCTCAGTGTCTCAGGTAGTTGGCACCCGGTGGTCTGCGGGAAGTTCCCGGAACTGCTAGTTCATGGCCCTGGTTCCGTGTTCCTTTAGAGTGCTGATTCAGGCTGCCCTCGATACAGCCAGTAAGGCCTGAGAACCCGCTCAGTGTGATGGCATGGAATCTGTACTAGGAGGGGGAGCATGGTGTATGGGAAACTACAAGAGCTTGGGATCTGCAGGCAGGGAGACTTGGATTCCCTTCCGTAATCTGCCATATCTTAGCTGTGAAAACATGAGCAAATACGATCAACTGAGTCTAGTCTTCTCATCTGTAAAATGGTCTTTTCCCCTTTTTTCTCTTTTGGTACCAAGAATCGAACTCAGGGCCTTGTGCTTGCCAGGCAGGCGCTGCGCTGCTGAGCTACATCCTCCGCCCATCATCTGTAACATGCAGATAATAATACTTTCTACCTCATGAGGGATTTGATGGGATTGTGTGACCTTAACTACATAAAGTCCTTTCACAAAATAAAGCACATTTTGTATCTTGCTCTTTCATCTTTTAATTTTTATTATTTAATTTAATTTATGTATTTGTAGTACTGAGAATTGAATTCAGGGCCTTCACATTGAGCTACATCCCCAGGCCTTTTAAAAAATATATTTATCTTGAAACAGGATCTCAATAACTCACTTAATTGCTCAGGCTGGGCTAGAATTTGGGACCCTCCTGCCTCATTCTCCAAGTGCTGGGATTACAGGTGTGTACCACCACCTCTGGCTTGTCTTCGGCTTTTTAAAGTAAGGATTGAGAATTTATTTTGTGCCAAGTGTGGTGCTTTTGTGTAAAATAACTTTATTTAATAATTTCCAAGCCAGCTGGACATGGTAGCACACACCTGTAATCCCAGCACTCTGGGAGGCTGAGACAGGAGGAACTAAAATTCCGGCTCAGTCTGGGCAATTTAGCTATACCCTACCTATCTCAAACTAAACAAAGGGGTGGGGATATAACTCAGTGCAAAGGCCCTGGGTTCAATCCCTAGCAGTAGCACCACCAATAATAATAATAATAATAATAATGATAATGTCTAATCCATAAAATTCACCCATTTAAAGTATGCATTTCACTAGGTTTGATGGTGCAGGCCTGTAATCCCAGCACTCGGGAGGCTGAGGCAGGAGGATTCTGAATTTGAGACCAGTGTGGGCTACAAAGTGAGTTAAACACCAATTTGAACTACATAGTGAGATCCTGTCTCAAAAAAAAAAAAAAAACAAACCAGCAAACAAAGAACAACAAAAGCTCGTTAGTTGCAGGCCAGGCAAGGCCATATAGTAAGACCTATCTCTCAAAAAGACAAAAAAAAAAAAAAAAACCAAATAAATAAATAAACTATTTAATATTTTTTTTTGAGACAGGGTCTCTCTGTGTAGTCTAGGCTGGCCTCAAACTCACAGCAGTCCTCCTGCCTCAGCCTCCCCAGTGCTGGGATTACAAGAAAGCGCCACCACACCTGGCAATATTTTAATATATTTAGCATATTTAAAGGATTGTCCAACCATCACCACAATGTAATTGTGAAACATTTTCACCTCTCCTAGAAATCAGAACACATCAGCAGTCCCCAGTTGCTGAGTTGCCACCCAGTCCTAAGCAACAACTGATCTACTTTTCATCTCTATAGCTTTGCCCATTCTGAATGTTTCATATAAATGAAATAATATCATATATGGTCTTCCTGGCTTGTTTTTTTACTTAGCATAATATTTTCAAGGGTCATCCATGTTGTAGCAGGTATCCAGCTCTTTATCTCTTTTTATGATTATATAATATTCCACTGTATGGAGTACACTTCTTTATTCATTCACCAGCTGATAGACATTTGGGTTGTTTCCAACTTTTGGCTATTATGTATAATGATGTGTGTGTGTGTGTGTGTGTGAGAGAGAGAGAGAGAGAGAGAGAGAAAGTGGGGATTGAGCCCAGGGCCTTCACACCACATCCATAGCCCTGTTTTATTTTTTATTTTGACACAGTGTCTTGCTAAATCACTAAATTGCCCAGGCTGAGTTTGAACTTAAGATCCTCATGCCTCAGCCTTCCAGAGTGCTAGGATTTCAGGCGTGCACCACTACACCTAGTGAAAAATGATACTATAAACATTCACATCCAATTTTTTTGTGGGGACATGTTTTCTTTTGTCTTATCTATAACTGCCAAACTTTTCCAAAGTGACCACACCATTTTAATATTCCCACCAGGAATGTTATCAAGGTACAACTTCTCCATATCCTCACCAGCTTATTCTCTGTCTTTGTTACATGCTCGTAGTGGATGTGAAGTGGGAACTCCTTGGTTTTATTTGCATTTCCCTGAAGGCTAATGATGCTGAATATTGTTCATGTGCTTATAGCCATTTGTGTATCTTCTTTGGTAAAATATCTCTTGAAATCATTTGTCTATTTTTATTTTATTTTATTTCATTCTTTTGAGACAGGGTCTCCCTAGGTAGTTCAGACTGGTCTTGGACTCACTATGCAGGCCAGGCTGACCTTGAACTCACAGTGATCGTCCTGCCTCAGCCTCTCGAGTGCTGGGATTATAGGTGGTTGCCACCACACCCAGCTCTGTCTACTTTTAAACTGGGCTATTTGGCCATGAATGTGAAGGTTTCTTTCTGGATTCTCAATTCTCTTGCATTGACCCAGATGTCTGTTCTTCTGCCAGTATTATACTATCTTTATTATTGTTGTGTAGTAAGTTTTAAAAATCAAAAGCCAGGCATATTGGCTCATGCCTGTAATCACAGCACCTGGGAGGCTGAGACAGGAGGACTGTGGTGAATTCAAGGCCAGCCAGATCTACATTAGCAAGGCCCTATCTTTTTTTTTTAGCAAGGCCCTATCTAAGAAAAGTAAAAAAAAGAAAAAAAAAAAAAAAAAACAGAATCCTCCTTTTTTGTTCTCTTTAAAAATTATTTTGGCTGGGTGTGATGGGGCACACCTATAATCCCAGCACTTAAGACAGGGTGACCTAGTTCGCAGACAGAGCTACGATGTTGACCAGGTTCCTGGGCCCACGCTACCAAGAGCTGGCTAAGAACTGAACCCCAACAGCCACCATGTGGGATGCCATGGGTGCCGTAGGACTGGTGTGGGCCACCGACCGGCGGCTGATGCTGGACTGGGTACCATACATCAATGGCAAGTTTAAAAAGGATGGTCAGTCAGCCGCCCCTTTCAGACCCTTCCGGTGTCTGGTGGTGCCAGATCCTCCCAGCACAGCACCCACTGCGTGCAGAAAGCCCCTAGTATGGACACCAAGGAAGCCCACAGCACAGCCTGGGACTCTTTTTGCTGCTGAACAGTGTTGATATTTTAAGGCACGGAGCATTAAACCTCACTCTCCAACGTAAAAAAAAAAAAAATCCCAGCACTTAGAAGGCTGAAGCAGGAGGGTCCCTGAGTTCAATGCCAGGCTGGATTACAAAGTGAATTTAAAGCCAGCCTGAACTGCGTAGGGAAACTCTGTCTCAAAAAGACAAAATAAATGAAAAATTTTTAAAAATATTATTTTGGGTATTCTGAGTCCCTTACAATTCCATATGAATTTTTCATTAGCTTGTCAGTTTCTACACAGTCAGCTAGGATTCTGCTAAGGACTGTGTAGAATCTGTAAACCAGTCTGAGAAATATTATCATCTTAAATCTGCCAATCCACGAACAGAAGAGAGCTTTCCATTTATTTGTCTTCTTTAGTTTCGTTCACCCATGCCTTATAGTTTCCAGTGCACAAGTCTTGCTCTGCTTTTGTGAAATCTATGCCCATGCATTTTCATTCTTTTCAATAGTATTGTAAATAGAATTTTTTTCTGATTTCATTTTTAGACTGTTCACTTTGTTTTTTTGTTTTTTTTTTAATTTTTTTTTTGGTTTTTCTCCGGTACCGGGAACCGAACTCACGACCTTGCGCTTGCCGGGCAGGCGCTTTTGCCGCTGAGCTAAATCCCCAGCCCTGTTCACTTTGAATATGTAAACATACAGTTGACTTTTGTACATTGTACTTGTGTCCTACAACTTTGCTGTGCTTATTTATTAGTTCTAAGGGTTTATTAGTAAATTCTTCGAGATTTTCTATATGCAGGACCATGTTCAAAGATATTAAGAAAAATACAAAATACACACACACACACACACACACACACACACAAAGACCATGTTATCTGCAGAAAGAGATAATTCCCATTTTTCCTTTCCAATCTCGGTACCTTATATTGCATTGTATTTACTACCTGCCCTAGTTAGAACTTCCAATACAATGCTGAGTAGAAGTGGGGCATGCAACACCCAGGCATGGTGCTGCACACCCATAATCCCAGCTCTGGGAGGCTGAGAAAGGAGAATCCCAAACTGTAGCCCAGCCTGGTCATTTTAGCAGTTTAGTGAAATTCTGTCTCAAAAATTTAAAAAGGACACCGAGCATGGTGGCACACGCCTGTAATTCCAGCACTCGGGAGGCTGAGGCAGGAGGATCGTTGCAAGTTTGAGTCCAGCCTGGGCTACAAAGTGAGCTCAAGGCCAGCCTGAACTGCATAGCAAGACCTTGTCTCAAAAGACAAACCCCCCCCCAAAAAAAAAAAACACAAAGTTTAAAAGGAGCTGAGGATGTATGTCAGTAAAAAAAACCCTGGGTTCCATCCCCAGTACTACCAAAAAAAAGTAATGAGCGGAGACATCCCAGATTTTTTTCCTGATCTCTAGGGGAAAGCTTTCAGTCTTTCATCTGAATCAAATATGTCAGCTGTAAGTATTTTTTCTGTTAATAAGCTGTATCATGTTGCAAGAGTTCTCCTTTATTTCTAGGTTGTTCAGTGCTTTACCATGAAAAGGTATTAGGGTTTTTCAGATGGTTTTCTGCACCTATTGAGATGAATGTGAAGTTTCTGGCCTCTATTCTGTTAACATGGTGTGTATTACCTTAATAGACTTTTTTATGTTAAACCAACTTTGCATCACAGCAATAAATGGACATGGTATATAATTCTTTTTAAATGTTGCAGGATTCAGTTTGGTAATATTTTGTTGTACGATTCATAAGAGCTACTTGGCCTATAGTTTTCTTGTGATATCTGCCTGGTTTAGTTATCAAAGTGATACTGGCCTCACAGAATGAGCTGTGCAGTATTTGATCCTCTTCTACTTTTTTGAAAACCGATGTGAAGGATTTAGTACGAATACTTTTTAAGTATTTGGTAGAATTCAGCAGTGAACCTGTTGGGCCTGGAATTTTTCTGGGGAGAAGGAGATTTTTTAATTACTGTATTAATTCAGTTCCTGTTATTGACCTATTTAGATGTTCAATCTTCTGGAATCAGTTTTGGCATGTTGTATGTGTCTAAGAATTTGTCCCTATGACCTAGGTTATCTAATTCATTGGTGTAAACTTATTATATTCCCATATAATCATTCCTATACCTGTATTGCCAGTTGTGATATCCCCTTGTTTCTTTCCTGATTTTAATTTTCAGTCTCCTCTGTTTTGTTAGGCTATCTAAACTGTTAATTCCATTGATCATCTCAGAGAAACAACTTTTAATTTCATTAACTTTCCCTATTTTTTCTTATCCTCTATACTATTTCTTTCCTTCTGCTTACCTCGAATTTATTTATTTGTTGTGTTTGTTTCTTTTGAGACAAGGTCTCACTGTGTAGTTCAGACTGACCTTGAACTCATTATTGTAGCCCAAACTGGCCTCATACTCAAAGTGCAGCACCACCCCCGGTTTACCTTGGATTTAGATTGCTCTTTTTTCAATTCCAGTTTCTTAAAATGGAAGTTAAATTACTGATGTGAAGTCTTTCTGGTGGTGGGCGTGGTGGTGCAGGCCTGTAATCCCAGCACTAGGGAGGAGAGACTAATGCAGGAGGATCACTGTGAGTTCAAAGCCAGCCTGGATACACAGCAAGACACTGTCTCAAAAAAAAAAATCTTTCTTTTTGAGACAGGATCTTGCTATGTAGTTCAGGCTGGTCTTGAACTCACTGTGTAGCCCCAAACTGGCTTGAATTCACAGTAATCCTCCTGACTCAGCTTACCAAGTGCTGGGATTACAGACGTGTGTGCCACCACGACCAGTTTTTCTTCTTTTTTTAAATAGGCATTTACAGTTACATCTTCCCTCTAAGTACTTCTTTGTTTTGTTTTTTGTCTTTTTGAGGCAGGGTCTCGCTATGTAGTTCAGGCTGGCCTTGAGCTCACTTTGTAGCCCAGGCTGGTCTCAAACTCACAATGATCCTCCTGCTTCAGCCTCCTGAGTGCTGGGATGACAGGCGTGTGCCACCATGCCCAGCTTTGTTCCTATTTTTTCCTTCTTTTCTCATTTTTTTATTTTTCCCTTCTTTCCTTCCCCCCTCCCCAATCACTAGTTCCCCTTTCCATTTGAACATTTTCTTCCTATTTCATAATGTCTATTATACATTTTGATCCTTATTTACACTTTCAGTTTCTCACCCCAGAGAAACAATGCAATATATATATGTGAGTCCAATTTATTTCACTTAAGAGTACAGTCTTTTGTTTTTAAGAGTACAGTCTTGAGGTGCATCCACTGACCTAGAAATGTCTCAGGCTTATCCTTCTTTATAGCGGAGTAGTACACCATTTTATTAAAAAAAAAAAAAAAACCTACATCTTCTTTATCCATTCGTTCACCAGTTGATGGGCATTTGGGCTGTTTCCAAGATTTGGCTATTACAAACTGTAATACATTTAACTTTTTTTTTGGTACCGGGAGTCAAACTCAGGACCTTGCACTTGCCAGGCAGGCGCTTATGCCACTGAGCTGTATCCCCTGCCCAACAAACTGTAATACAAAATCAACAAGGGTGTGCATATATCACTCTGGTATGTTTTGAATTCTTTCAGGAAGATACCAAGAAGGGGAATAGCTGAGTCAAATAGAACCTCTAGTCCTAGTTTTTTGAGGACTCTCCACACTGATTTCCACAGTGGCTGCATGAGCCTACACTTCCACTAACAGTGGAGAAGGGTTCAGTTTTTCCCACAGCCCCTCCAGCATTTGTTATTGGTTGATTTCTTGAGAATAGCCATTCTTTCTGGGGTGAGATGGAATCTCAGTGTTGTTTTAATTTGCATCTCTCGGATGATCAATGATGTTGAAGATTTTTTCATATATTTATTTGCTGTCTGTATTTCTTCATCTGAGTAGTGTCTACTCACTTCAGATGCCCATTTTTGGATTGGGCCCTTAAATTTGGGGGATCTAGGGGAGTTTTTTGTCCTTTATATATTCTAGATAGTAGTTTTTGTCTGAGGAACAGCTGACAAAAATTCTTTCTGATTCTGTGGGCTGTCTCTTCACTCTATTGGTGGTTTCTCTTGCTGTGCAAAAGCTTTTTCATAAGATGACATCACAGTTGTTGATTCTTTGTGATAGTTCTTGTGCAACTGCGGTTTTGTTCATAAACTTTTTGCCTACACCAATGTCTTCAAGAGTTCTAACTATTCTATCTTCTAGAGGATTTAATGTTGCTGTTTTAATATTTAGAACTTTGATCCATTTCTAATCTAGTGCATGGTGAAAGATATGAGTCCAATTTTAATCTTTAGCATGTGCAGAGCCAGTTTTTCCCCCACCATTTTTAAAGAGGCTTATCCTTCTCCCAGTGAGTGTGTTTGGCACCTTTGTCAAAGATAAGGTAGCTAAGTATGTCTGGAATTGTTTCTGCATCTTCTAATCTGTTCATCCTTGGGTCTCATTTTTTTTTTTTTTTTTTGCCAGACCATGCTGGTTTTTTGTTTTGTTTGTTTTTGTACCAGAAATCGAACACAGGACCTTGTGCTTGCCAGGCTGGCACTGTACTACTGAGCTACATCCCCAGCCTCCCATACTATTTTTATCACAGTAGCTTTTTAGTATAATTTCAAGTCTATGGTTGTGATGCTTCCTGCCTTGCCTCTGTTGCCCAGAATTGCCTTTAGTATTCTATGTCTCTTCTGGTCCCAAATAAATTTTAGGGTTGCTTTCTCTAATTCTGTGAGATATGCTCTTGGAATTTTGATCAGAATTGCATTAAATCTGCACAACAATTTTGGAAGCATGACCATTTTCACTGTATTAGTTCTTCCTACCCAAGAGTAAGGGATATCTTTCCATTTTCAGATATCTGCTTGACTCTCCTTTTTCAGAGTACTCTAGTTG